TTTTAACCCAGTGAAGATATTATTCCTTCTCTGGTTTCTATTGTTACTGATGAAAGTCAGTTACCAGATGCTTTGAGGATAACCTATATTTTTTCTCTGCTACTTTCAAGGTTTCCTTTTTTGGTTTTGGTGTTCTATATAGTTTCACTATGATGTGTCTAAGTGTGGACTTATTATTCTTTAGCTTGCTTGGGATTTGGGGGGACTTAAGTCTGCAGGCTGGAGTGTTTCATCAGTTCTGGAAAGTTCTCAATTATTATCTTGTCAAATATTGCCTCTGCCCCATCTTCTATTCTTCTGGAGCTATAATTAGATCTATTTTAGATCTCATAATGCCTTCCATGTCAGTTAAAGTCTCTTTTATATTTTTCATTTATTTTTCTTTTCCTGTTGCATTTGGGATTTCTTCATCTCTATTTCCCAGTTCAATAGATTATACTTCTGCTGTGTCAAATACACTATTAAACTTGTCCACTGAGTTTTAAATTCTCATAATTTATATTTTTTAATTCCTTAAGTTCTATATTTTCCAAATGTCCTCAGTCATTCTTTATAGTTTATTGTTCTCTGTACATATTTTGAAGCTTGTCTTTTATTCCTTCATTCATATTTTGTATAATTATTTTATCATCTGTGCCTGGTAATTTTAGTATCTGAAGTCCTTTTGAATCTATTTCTGCTGTCTTATGTGTGTCCTGTTTCTCACTAATGATTTATTATTTCTGTGCTTGTTATTTTAAAAAGTATGACTGCTAGTTTTCCTCAGAATTTTATTTATAATCATTCTGTAAGGCTTAAGATGAAGAAGAGTTCCTCCAGAGATGACTGGCATTTGCTTCTGCTGGGTATATGAGAATACAATCAGTTAAAAATTGTCAGCTGAAGGTATTTTGAAATCACCCAGGTAGTATGAATTCAAGTTACATTTTTGTGTGAGAGCTAGATTGTAACTCCAAGTTCTCAGATATGACTTTGTTTTTTTCCCTGTCCACTAGGTGCCAAGGTTTAACAGTTAATTTTATTTGTAGGGTGAGGAGTGTATGCCAGTAAGGGGCAAGTTTATTTCTAGTACATCTTTGCACTGAATGAATAACCTTTGGAACCACAGCTTTCTGTGTGTGTGTGTGTGTGTGTTTAGAGCAAGTGATGAATTTTGTCTCTTATAAGGCAATGAAAACCAAGGCTTATATTAACTGGGTTTGGCAAAGACCTTAGGGTAAAAGTTTGGCTTTAGGCTCTGCTCTACTCTCTAGGTTCTGCTTTCATTTCATTTGACCTAATAATTTCTTACTTATTTCCAATTAATCAATATATTTAATAAGATTAAAAAATAATTTCCCAGGAATTTTGTTTTTAGTGTGATCATTGATTGAGGTATCTGGGTCCACGATATTGATGGAAACAGAAGCCTATATTCTTCTTTTTATTTTGTTTATTATCCAAATTTTCCTTGAGGAAAATAAATAGAAATACTCAAAATCAATATGCAAATATTTTGCAAGCAAATCTGTAGATTTTATAGACTTTTTAATATAAATATTAATTGAATGTTTACCACATATTTGGTTGATGATTTTGTAAATGACTATTATTTTATTTTACTAAATAGATGTTTAAATATTATTCTATAGTACATTTAGCCTTTGAACAACTCATCTGTTGGCTCAAATTCACTTTATGTGATTTGCAAGATTATGCTATGTAACAGTTTCAAAAATCTCTGATTTAGATCAACAAATATTTATGTTTTACTCTTGTTAGTAGCTGTTCCAGGGTAAAGGTCAGTTTTAGATCTGCTCCATGTATTTTCTTATTCAGAAACCCTATTTGGAGCATGCCTTTCTCATGGCAGCCAGCACAAGACTAAGAGATTGACCTGAACCTTGCACACATACTTAAAGCAGTGAGCATGTGTCACATCTGGCAAACCATTGGCTAGTGCAAGTCACATGACCAAGAGTAATATTACAATCTACCACAGTCTTCAAAGTTGTGTTGAATACCTTATTTATGTCTGAAGTTGTTCTCAATCTTAATCGTCAAGAAAATTCCTCATTAACAACCTCTGGCAACATAAGCATCTACATGGATGCTTATAAGGCTAAACAACAAAAGCAAAACCACCTCAAGCCAAATCTCTCTCATACTAGGTCAGGGTTTAAATACATTCTGTACGAAAGATTATCATGCCTGTCAGTGCTTAAACTGATTTGGAAATAAAATCCTTCTCATTCTTATGAATGAATAATTAATTAAACACTAGGCAAAAAAGATGAATTTTTATTGGAGTTAGAATTAGATAGCTATAATTAAAGTTTTAGTTTGAAATGTTATTCCTAAAATCACTTTAGCAGTAGCAAACTGCAAGGTATCTCTTAACATAGCAAATGGGTGTTATTGAATATTTTTCAGTTACAGTACAGAATCACACATTATAGTTTCTCTTTATGTTGTGATTACATCGAAAATACTGGATTGAATGATCATTTCCTGGAATCATGGAATATTAGATTTGAAAGTATCTGAAAAGCATGTATTTTTCAACTTTAGTGAATTGATACATCGTTTAGTTGCAATCAGTTGTAAGATATGTCAAAATCAGTAGTTATTCACCATAAGGAACCATTATAAGCAATAGTTAATATATAGAAGATTGTGAAATAAATACTTACATTTGTTATCCTATATCTTCATTTTCACTTACTTGCATTCTGATTTCTTTTTCTTGAGTGTGGTGAAAGGAGCTGCAGCTAGTTTGACAAGACTTTGTATAATCCTAGGTATACCATGACTATGTGAACATTATCCATCGGAGAAAAAGGTTGAGTATCATTCCTTAAAGAGCATGTAGTCCAACTCCCTACTTTTATCAGAACTTGAAATGCAGAGTAATTTATCTAGTCACACTTCTAATTAGCTAAATCCGTAACCTAGGCCTCTTTGCTTCCAGTACTTTCCATTCCAATAAATGACCATTCATTTTCAATAGCCAATATAAGAAAGTGGGGCTAGGATAGGAAAGGATTAGGTAAGGCAATTTGCCACCTTTTTCTAATCTTTAGTCTCAGTTCCAAAGTAAAGGAAAAGCACCAGAGAACAGAGCCCAGATGTTGTATTTTGCATGTTACCTATGCTTTAGGAATATTCTTTATCAAATCTATTTGATTGCAACTCACAGTAGGAAATAGTTTAAATCACAACATAGGACACACTCTCACTCTCCCCCGTAACTAAGACAAAAGTTTCACAAAGCAATATTTGCCGTTACTAGATATACACTCTGACTTTTTATGTTCTATTTCATTAAAAAATGAAATTTATTTTTTAGTCTGTTTGGAAAAAACTGCTCTGTCAACAAGTTTCAATCTGTTTACAAACTCCAAAGTTACTAGCTTTGCCAAAATAACGTCGTTCACAGAATAATAGTTTCCTCATATTTATTTGAACCATAAGTATCATCTCAGACTTCAGAGCTGAACCTGTAGAATCTTTTACTCATTGGAACTCCAGTTCACTGCAATATCTCATAGATTCTAGGACTCATTGTTTTTCATTTTTCAACATCTCTGAATTCAAGATGTGTCTTAAAAAAAATCAATAGCATGGCATAGTTTAGTTGGTAGTGTTTCTTTTCTTTCTTGGGTAACATGAAATAAAGGTGAATCTTAAATTTCATGATTTCTTAAGAGTGTCTATGAAATATATTAATAATAAGTATTATATATGCCAAACTACTGCTTATTCATTTCAAAGTATCCAGTTGATCATAAAACTTTTTGACGTCTTGTTAAAGAAATGTAGTGAGATGAAAACTGCTTAAGAAAATACCTTGGTTATGGGCTGGGAGGAAAAATGTTACAAACGGAGTTTAGTTGTTGCAGAAAGCTTGCCCATGTGTTTTCTTGTTAGCGTTCCATTATGAACTTTCTGCACTTCCACCTCCCTTCTTTCTGTACTGTTACTTTCTTTCCGTGACTAGCATTTTACTCTTTTCCTCCCTTCAGCAGGGTTGAGGGGGAGAGTTCCTCCGAAAATGGTTAAAAAGGAGGCAAAAGNCTCCCTTCAGCAGGGTTGAGGGGGAGAGTTCCTCCGAAAATGGTTAAAAACGAGGCAAAAGATAAGTTATGTCCAAAAATTAAGGTACTTAAAGAATTAGGCTTTATTTTTAAAGTGGAACGAATTGCCAAATATCAAACTGCCACCAACCTAACACATTGTAAAACTTAATGACTGTAAAAGCGGCACTAAGGATCCTGAACATGACTAGGAACAAAAATAAGTTTGCTAGGGCTATTTTCATCCCAGCGTGACTGAAATGCACCATCCCTTCCTTAAAAAGAAATACCTCTAACGGAGAGAACAGTACATTAAGTGCTACAATTAACGCGCTACTAGGAATAGGAACAAGTAGTTAATGCTTTCCAAGCCAGACACCACGAGATCTTTTTCCCTTTGTTTGACTAAAACTCGAGCCCAGCCCAAGGCCGCGGAGGCGGGTCCCCTCCCGGGCCCTAGCGGGCGTGGGGTCGCGCCCGCAGCCGGAGCGGGGAGCTCGAAGGCGCATTCGCCGCACACCGCGCAGGACCCTGCGCGACCGGTCCCGCAG